TTATTATCTTGAGATATGCTATCTTATTATTCCCAATCTACTGATGGAAGCACTGAAACACACAGAGATTAGCTAATTGAGACCACAAACATAAAAAACTGATTGAAAAATGTAATGCTAGCAGTCTACCGCCAAAGCATTTGCTTATAAACATATTTTACCACTTCTATGGACAGTTATGTGTACACTCCTCAAGGTTGAGACATATGTATGCAGCAAAGTAACCTTTAGAAAATCTGGCCTAAAATAGTGTATTTCAAGACACAGAATTGAGAGCCAAGTTCAGGAAGTCTTCTGAGTATTTCATTTAAAAGTCTACCACCTCAATATCCACTCTAGCCTTTGGCCTAAGTAAAGTACATGCATCAACCTTTAGAAAAAATAATTTGTGAGTTTGCATTGTTTATTCATATTTCATGGACTAGTAGGAGATATTAAATCTTATGATGTGTTGGAAAAAAAGAATTATGTACCAGGTCACCTGGTAAAGTTGAAGTTGATAGAAACTAAATAATTTGAATCAAACAGACATATCTATCTTCTGTTTATCTGTGAAAATAAAATTATATACAGCACATCACAAGTAAAAGCCCATTAACCTTAGCAATTCCACCATGGATTAATTAGTGTTTTATTCTGTACATTATAAACATGGATTTTATTGTAATTAACCCAAATTTCAAATAAAACACAGAAAACAAAGTAACATAATTTTATTTTTTATAAAGACAATAAGACAAAACTTTAGCAATGTATTTCCTCATAAACAGACATTGATTTTCAAAAGTGTATTGATTTCAGGGTAAGATATGCCTAGAAACTTCTACAGCAAATACCTGTCATTAGAACATTCTCTTCTTATCAGTTAAGATAAATAAAATACCTCTCTTTCCTGGATCTTATGATTACATTCTTTTTTTCTCTATCAGAATACCTTTGTTCCAGTATAGTCACAGTGGATATTATCTAGTGTAAATACTTGCAAAATTTTCCTCAAATAAAAAATGTTTTGGTAACAATGAAGATCATCTACAAAATCCATTTGAGGTTACATGCGTGCAGAACCATGCCAAAAGGAATCCCCTGCTTTAGTGCATCCAGCAAATAGTTCCAAATATAACTCTCTGGTCTAGGTCTAAGTGTAGATGAATGAGAAAACATAAAGAGGCATATGAACCAAGCCTTTGTACTTGAGAACTGAGGATGGCTACCCTATCAAATAACTGAAGTGGTATGCTAATTTAGTGTGTTCACTTCTACAGCATGAATTAGCACAGTGTGCTCACTGCAACAGCATTGGACAATCACTTAACTATAAATATGCAGTTATCTACTATGCTCTTAGATTTCCTATGTTCAAATACTACGAAACATGTAAATGGCATCAGGGTATAAAAAGGTACTCAACTGATCTATATATGAAATGTATTCAACACATATATCATATCATAAATATACATATAATGTATGTGTATTTTAATGAATTAATATTGATGAATATCATGAAGGCATGTACATCCATGTGGAGAGATGTGAACATATGAGGTTATTCATATGCTAAATTTACCCATCCACAAATTAGAATGTGCACAAATGCCAGAGAGCACAAATGTGTATGGAATCCCTATAATAATGCCTACAACAGGCATATGCAAACAAGAATATGCACAAGCACAAACAATGCACATATTTGTCCATAGAAACATACGTGAAAAATTATTAGGTTTCAGTTAATAGATGCCATGTCAATGGGTAAAACAAATGCATCATAGGAATATCTAAAACTTATTTGGAGACTCAAATACCAAAAAGCCTTTAGGTGCAAACTCCCTAAATGAAGGGATAATGAAAGAGGAAATGACAGAGTTTTTTAATGTTGTAGAGAAAGATCTGCCCTAATTTCTCATTCAAAAACCAGTCTATGTATTCATCGTGGAAAAAGTGAGGGTATCTCAGTGTTTATACTGCCCCAAACCTCAACCACCTTCTTATTCCCTTACTCATATTAAGTTGAATACTTACAAACAGGCTGTTTTTCCTCCAAAGAGAATAAAACGTGAGAAGGCGTATTCTCTTTCAAGGGTATTAGAATTAATTATGTCAACTTAATAATCTAACTTACTTTTTGGACACACCTAGCTGATCTCAAGTCCTGATGATTTGAAGAACATTTATCATCTATCTCATACTTTTTCAAACTTGTAGTTATTAATTCGGCTAATATTTATTAAAGTACCTCCATGGTCAATGAGTAATGACTGGAAACACATCTAGTAAATAATTCATTTTTATTTATGACCCATCTACTTCAGCAAGATCTGTCAAAATCACCCAGACTTGTCATTCTTAGTGGTTCTTATGTGCAGAGTGTCAGCATCACATTTTACTCATGACCCACTACGGGGTGCCTTCTCTTGTTCTCATCCTGGATAGAGATGTGGCCCAGGAAGCCATGCTCATTCTGCAGCTAACCAGGTATAGAGGTCAACCGCTTCTTCCAGGAGCTTCATTCAAATCATCCTGCATTTTCTGTGAACAAATACATTCTATGTTTTTCCCAAGATGCTACTGTGTCTACACGCCAAGAAAGGAAATGGTGTTCTCGAAATAACTAAGGAGTTTACGAGTGGGAGAGTGCTAAGAAAGGGAGAAAAGGGAAATGCATTCATACCACACTGATTGATGATGCAAATGCTATAACCACTCCACAGACAACTTCAATCAATAATTTTAATATTAAACTCAGGGCTTTTCAAAGACAGGGAGAGAGAGAGAATACTACAAGTTTAAGCCCTAGAAATTAAGGTTTATGGAAGAATCCTACATTTCAGGATCATTTATACCTAATAGAGCCAGATATTACAGCTTGCAGGAAATAGGAAGCAATGATTCTACCATATGATGCTTTCATTTTTTTGCACAGCACTAATTAGCAAATATCTAATTATGCAAATTCAAGTTTGCACTTTCAAATATTGTTAGCTAGTATCTAATACCAGAAAATTTCCTTTTTGAAGGTTTGAACATCCATACAAACATCATATTTTTATTAAAATTAGCTTAATATCATTTTCTCCATCAAGCCTGTGCACAGCTAAGACATCAGATATTCCTGACTCTATGCTATGGTATGCTATAAAGAGAATTCACATTTGTATTTGTTGCGGTAATGCATTTATCTGTATGCTTCCTTCATTAATCATTGTCTCTCTTTTTTTAAACTTGAAGTTCCATCAGGGCAGGGCCCCAGTCTTTGCAGGAGAGCCTGCATGTTGAAGTTGTTAAATGCATGGATTCCAGTAACTCATTTCCAGGTCCATATCTCCCCTCTTCCTCTTACTAGCTGTATGATTTGGGGTAACTTAATTGCTACTTCTCTATCTCAATTTCCTCAACTGTGAAATAATAATAACTGTAATGTCTATTTCAAAGAATCCTGAGAATATTTAATACATTTTTTAAAATCACCTAAAAGAATGAATGGTGTAACTGAAACATACTGGTATTCATAACTATTACTTTTGCTTACATTTGGATCCTTAGTAACAAGTAGAATGCCAGGTACATATCAGAATCTCAAAGAATATTTATTGAATGATTGACTGGCTGACTGAATGAACAAATAGGAAGGAGGAATCATAGAGATCCTCTTGATCTGTGACTTTCAAATTACTTTAGATTTGGACACCCTTTCTCCAATAAAAGTATATGCACATTATATAAGCCCAACAAATAAATTATGTAAAATAATAAATATTTTAGTTGAAGATGAAGGGATTATAGAATCCAGAGTCCTGGGCTGGGCGCGGTAGCTCACGCCTGTAATCCCAGCACTTCAAAAGGCCGAGATGGGTAGATCACCAGGTCAGGAGATGGAGACCATCCTGGCTAACAAGGTGAAACCCCGTTTCTACTAAAAATACAAAAAATGGGCATGGTGGCGGGCGCCTGTAGTCCCAGCTACTCGGGAGGCTGAGGCAGGAGAATGGCGTGAACCCGGGAGGCGGAGCTTGTGGTGAGCCGAGATGGCGCCACCAAAAAAAAAAAAAAAAAATTCCAGAGTACTATCCTCTTGATATTCATTTATCTCTCGGCAGCCCTAGTTTAGCCCTATTTCTACTAAAGAGCTAGGGCTAGATCTCTTCAGAAAGTAGAAGAAAATCTCTGTTTTAAGCCAACTGCTTAAGACCCAATAGGTTAGGAAACGAATGCTAAAAGAAGTAACCTGTGCATGTCCAAGTGTGTGTCAGAAGTGGGTGTCAATTAAAGACTCATAAAGTCCACGTGAAATATTTCTATTGCATTGACCTACATTTCAAAATTTACCCAGGAGTGCCTTATCTACTCTGCTTAGAAAGTCCCAGCCACAGGCCTATTGCTAAACCTTTCAGGAAAAATAAAAAAAAGAAAAGAAAAGAAAAAAGTTAAAAGAAAAAAAAAAAGGATAGTCTAAGAACAAAACAATACAACAAACAAAACAAAAGGCTTATTTTTGTTTCTTACGGTTCTCTGTTCTCATGCCAATACATGCTCCCTTGCTGCTCCCCTGCTTGTTCCCTTGCTGTTTCAGCATCTAAATTAATTTATTCAACAAACATTTGAGCATCTTCTATGAGGCAGCTAGCTCTAAGCACTTGAGATTAATTTGTGAGGTGATGGATATGTTAATTAACTTGATATAATCATTCCACTACTTGTGTGTTCATATATAGAGATACATCACATTGTACCTATTACATATCACAATAATAATTCATAAATTAAAAATAAAAATTTAAATTAAAAAAAAGACAAAAATCCCCGTCACCATGGAACTCTATATCTTTTAAAGAAAGCATATGCAAAATAAAAGATTTTGGGGGCATTGGTAAAGAAAGATTAAATAAAATTTCAAGATGCTATTTAAGAAAAGTTCTTAGATCCTGATACACAGAAGCAAGTACCATTTTTAATGTTCATATCTGCTTTTTCAATTCGTTTATGTAAGATAATATACATTGTATCCTTGTAACAATCTTTATTGAACAAAAATAGGCCATCTTTCAGCATCTTTTATTCTTCATCATTCGACTGTTAATATTACATAACACAATCCAAATGAACACATAGTTTGGGGAAGTTTAGGACTATACACACGACTAAGAAAATGTCTCCTAAGTAAACAGTATGTGTTTTCTTCACTCTCTAGGTCTGGCCAGTTCAACCTACTCTATGGTACGCTATGGTGTCAATAATTATTTCAGCCTCTGCTGCAATTAGTGCTAATTACAATACCTGAGCTATAAAAATAAAAGATTTCATTATAGCAAAGTTCACAAATATTGTTTTAGTTCGGTTATCCACATTGCTCATCTAAAATAGTACATTTTCTTTACATATAACTGTCTTAGACTTGTAATTGAGGATATTTTATGAAACAGATCTGTATCTGAAACAGCACTATGATGCGAAACATCTGCATAAGGAATGAAAAAAAGTTAGCAACCTAGTTTTTTCAATATTCAGATACTTGAGATTACACAGAAAACCACATCCAGATGAATGACTGAATTATTCACTTTTCTTCTGAGAATTTTGGCATTGGATAGACACAGCACTCATTTAAGTTTAATGCATTTTAGGAACAGGTTCAGTTTACATATTTAACGCACATAAAAGAAAACACAAAGCCAAAAGAAACTTCTAATTTGGAAACAAATGCATCAAATACATAGCATTGATTACTATTTTAAAATAACTATAGAGAAATACAATTGTTGGTTCTGGTTGTATCTCTATTAAAACAAGTTATTCCATTGGAAAATATCTTTTTTCTTAGTAAGAATCAATTACATATTTTTCAAAATGTAAGTAATCTTTCACTGCTTATCATTACAGGTACATAATAGAATTATACTCTCTATAATCAACATTTAGGTTGATATTTTATTCCATATGAGGACGGTTGGGATTTAAGTGTTAATTCCTTTAAAACAACATCTGTTTATTTAGTTGTTAATTAAAAGATGTAAGAAATGGCCCCTTTCTCATACACAAATTCAAAAATGTAAGAGAAACATTTTTAACTTATCTGATTATATTTTAAAGCAATTAGAAACTGAGATAAATAAAATGTATTCATTAAGGTACAGTCATAGAATATAATAAAAAAGAATCTCAAACATAGCTATTAAAAAGAACTCCTAAAAATATTTTTAAAGGTCTCCTGCTACAAGTTACTTTTTGTTTTTTAAAACAAATGATGCAATGAATATAACATAGTAAACTTTGCTGGATGTATAATGCCATATATATTTAAAGGAAAAAAATACATTGGCCGAGTGTGGTGGCTCACACCTATAATCCCAGCACTTTGGGTGGAGGTTGAGGCAGGTGGATCGCCTGAGGTCAGGAGTTCAAGACCAGCCTGGCCAACATGGTGAAACCCCGTCTCTACTAAAAACATAAAAAATAGCTGGGCACGGTGGCAGGTACCTGTAATCCCAGCTACTCGGGAGGCTGAGGCAGGAGAATCACTTGAACCTGGGAGGCAGAGGTTGCAGTGAGCCAAGATCGCACCATTGCGGTCCAGCCTGGGTAACAAGAGTGAGACTTCATTTCAAAAAAAAAAAAAAATCATATGGATCCAAAGCCCACTTGATCAAGCCAGGAATTAATAAAAGAAATTTAGAACATAGAGAAAATAAACAACTTTAAAATGAAGCTTGATAAAAACGTGATTAATATCAACCTGAGTTCTTACCGTTCAACATGTTCTCTCTCATGACAATTTCAGAAAATAACAGCCTGATTCTCCTTTTTTTTCATTCCAAAGATGCTTCAAAACATGCTGTGCTAGATGACATGGTGAATAACTTTCCATAGGACCCACAGGGCCTACAAGGGAAGCTGGGCCCCAGGGTGGAGGTGGGAGACTGAATATAAATTAAAAATAAATGATCTGCTTCCCTGTCATGAAACTATGGAGATGGCTAGGGCCACTGAGCACAGTGGGAAAATTACAAGGAACAGGACTTGGGAGACTAGCAGTATTCTAGTTTCTATAATTAAATTATTTTTAGAAATATGAAGGAGTCAGCAGAAACTTCAGACCTTGATCTTTTATTTTATCCTGGTCACTTCATCTGAAAGCTCTATAGATCATCTATAAAGCTAATTATCTTTTTTTCTTGGGTAGCTGGTTTTATGAAAAATGTAAATGCCCCTTGATTTACAATAGGGTTACATACAGACAGACAAATCCAAAGTTGAAAACCTTGTAAGTCTAAAATGCATTTAAGATACCTAACCTATGGAAAATCATAGCCCACCCTAACTTAAACCTGCTTAAATGTGCTCAGAACATATACCTCATCCTACAGTTGGGCAAATTGTCTAACACAAACCCTATTTTATAATAAAATGTTGAATATCTCGTGGACCACGTATCACTAGCCCTCCAAAAAAAAAAAAAAATTCAAAATTCAAAGTATGTAGAAATTATGAAGTTTTCACGGAATCATCAAAAAATCATTAAGTTGAACCACTGTGGTTGGCATCTGTCTGTGCTAATAAATGACACTGAACCATTCTGAAAATAGAATTGCTACATAAATACATGATAATGTTACTTTTACAGCTAATGATATTTTCCAATTCTCCAAATCTTTAAATTTATTTCAATATGCCATTTTGATCAGAGGTATGCCATTAAATCTCAGAATCTAAGTTCATTGATTGATTACACGTTTCCTTTAATATATTTTTATTAATTATCTTCTAGGATACACTGATCCAAATGTATATATCGTGGTTTGACAGATCCATCCTGTAAAACCAATGGTTTAATATGCTTTCTACAGTTGCAAAAAGGTTCTAAGCAAAAGAAATGACTTTTCAGTTCAGACAACTTAACTGTAGTCATTAATTGAGTCTGCAACTTTGAAAGTCCTATGAAACCTATTAACCAGATAATTATTCAAGGGTCAATTCCACTTGCTTGTGAGCTATGTTCCAATTATTCATGAGTGCATTTATTTGATTAGTGATATTCCTATAGAAAATCAGAACTCTTAAGGATTAACACTGCCATTGATTTATTTCAATAACACATTTGTTTTCAAAAAATATGCATCTGGGTTTATTGAATCAACATGGCTGTTGTACTTTCATCAAACCCCTGCTTTGTAACAGATATTACCTGCTTTCATATTTGTATTTTAGAACTCACTCTTCATTCCCTACTCCACTACCCAACTTCATACCAAAAATCCTGCCAAGTATTTCAGACAACTTGGTTATTAACTTGGAATAATTGCAGTAGACATACATAAGAGATGTGTCTATAGAATGCCAAAATATTTAATCGTGTCAGAAATTTAGTCATTCATCCAAATATTTTGTCTATATGATGCCAAACATACTTAATGAATTATGTTAGCAGACCAAATTCTTGACAGAATTGTCTTAGCATTGTTTAGACAAAATGATTATTAGTAGTTCAAAATAATACCAATAGCAATAAACACCATCAAAGAAACAACGTATTTAGATTGGCACAAATTCCAACCTTGAGGAAAGTGACTTCAGTTGGCTTATGTGGACTAAACCCTTATAGATATTTTTGTAATTTGGATTCTAAGAATGCTGAGAACCCACAATATTTTATTATCCTCCAGTTGATTCTGACAACTACATCATAGAAGTACTAGATATCCAAATGAACCAGGAGAATTACATGTTAGATAGCATTTGAGTTAAACCAGACCAATTTATATGGGGCAATTTACTGATGACAACAAAATTTTTATGACTGTGGATATTCATTTCAATTAGGTTATTGCTTAAGGATCATAATTGGTCTGGAATCTTTGAAAATTTGTAGACTACTTTATAAAGTTACATAAAATTGTGAAAAAGTTGCATGCTTTAGAAACTTAGTATTTCCATCAAGCTTGTGGTCTAAAAAGAGTATGAAGACAATAGCAAATGGATGTTTTTAACACAGTTTCTTAGTATTTACAGTATTTTTTCTTCTCTAGCTGCCATCCCTTCAAAGCTGGTCAATGGTTTTTCTGGGGCTTTTTTCATCTCACATTCAGAACAAGGAGGCATTTGCAATTTCTGTTAAACAATACAGAAAAGACAATTAAAAGAATAAAAATAAATACATGTTAAGGTAAAAATTGAAAAGTCTAACAGAATAAGAATGAAAATTCATAGATCTCAACAAATATCTTAGAGAAAATGAACACTGGACAGAAATGAAACAAATGTAAAGATGTTAATTATATTTCATAAAACTACAAAACAATATTTTGTCTAAAAAGAGTAAAATGTTTCAAAAACTATTTTGAGAAAACTTTGCCCAAACCATTCAATTCTGTTTTAATCTAATTCAAAGTTTGAGAATAAGTTAAATCTAACTGAATGTTTTAGTATTAAGTGAAATAAAAATTAAGAATGTCAATGATACAACATTTTTGGTCAAGTATAATAAATTACAAATAAAAATTCAGAATTAAGCTCTTGACTTGTGTTTATTTTGTTTGCTTTTGTAAGTAATATGTACTTCTTTTCACCTCGTCTGCTTCCTCAAATCCTCTTTAATCTACTTTGTCCAAAAAGAAATATATGCCTGTTTGATCATCCCTGTTTATTTTTGTTTTATTTCCTGGTCTGTGAGAGGGAGGGTGCAAGTGAGGGAGAACTTCCTTCTCCCTTGACCTTCTGAGGGCCTCACATAGTCAAGCCAAAAGCTTAGTAGAAAGCAGAGCAGCCTTGGAAAAGCCCATGGGCACCAGGTGAAGACACTATATAGTATATAGTATTAGCTCTATAGTATTAGCAAGTACAACATCCTGCCCCAGCTAGAGCAAGAGAGAAGAGTGTTCAATACAATGGATCCAAGAAGTGCTTTTTGACATAATCAAAATAAAACAAACACATACCTGTGGGATAGGCTCAGTTTCTGCAGTGGCATTACTTGGAGGACTTTCTTTGCGCGTCATTGAACAGGTTCTGCCTTCCTACAAAAACAGCAATTGAAAATATATCAGTGAAGTTAAATAAAGAAGGTGGTGGGGGGGTGGTAAAAACAGTCTCTTGAATTCTTCCTGTTGAGAAGATTCTATCACTTTGATCCATACTGAAAAGGCAAAAGCTACGGACAAAATCCATCACCACAGCAGTGGGATTTCAAGGAGAGATCAAACATTCCTGGCTGGTGTGGGGATCACAATGGTGCTTATGGTAGTCAGCTACAACAAAGAAGTACAATTCCAATGGAAAATTATTTCCCTGGAAAACATTTAAAAAGAAGTAAAAGATTATAAAACTACTATATCTGCATCCAGACTCTGTGATTCATACATGTCAATTATTTGAGTGCCTGCAGGAACATCAATATTGCAAGCTAGGAAGCAACGTAACTAATATGACCACCAATCTGTCTTGCATAAAATCCTCATCATCTTTTTTGAAAGACAATATTTCTGGAACTAAGATCCCAGGAATTTTACTGGCCAGAATATCTGATCTTACTTATTAGCTTCACCAGTTTAAAGGAAGATGAAGTGTTAGCAATGAAACAAAAAAAGATCCACTTGGGCTTCACTTCCATTTTAACCAGGGTTAAAATATTCAATCCTCCCTCCCTCCTCTCTTCCTTCCTCCCTTTCTTTTTTTCACTTACTGATAATTTTCCTCCTTCCTCTCTTCCTGTCTTTCTTCTTATTATATACACACTTTTAAATTAACAGTAACATACATAGTGTAAGAATCTGCATTTGTGTGTGTGTGTGTGTGTGTGTTAGATTTCTCATAATCTTTTCCATGTGCAAGACAGAGCCTAACAGTTTAATAATTTGTGAACACTAGGCCAGGTGAAATGGCTCACACTTGTAATTGCAGCACTTTGCAAGGCTGAGGTGGGTGGATTGCTTAAGCCCAGGAGTTTGAGACCAGCCTGGGCAACATGGTGAAACATCCTCTTTCCAAAAACAAAAACAAAAGCAGCTGGGTGTGGTGGCACATGCCTGTGGTCCCAGCTACCTGGGAGGCTGAAGGGGGAAGATCACCTCTGCCTGGGAGGTTGAGGCTGCAATGAGCTGTGATCATGCCACTGCACTCCAACCTGGGCTACAGAGTGAGATCCTGTATCAAAAAAGTATATATATATATAAAATTATATATAAAATTCAAGACCACTGGCCCACTGATATAAAAAAAATAAGTTTCTTTCCAAGCAGTGAACCAGGGGATAGAGAGCTAAATTGACTTTAAACTCTAAAAATTCTGAGTAGAAGATAAAAAGTCCTACAGGAGATTAAACCTACTCTAATTCAGATTTTAAAGGTTATTTTACATGCTCCCTCTATTCTCATATTATATTGCTCTTAATTGAACACAAACCATATATCTGTACATTTCTCTGCCCATGTGTGTGCTACCCCACTTCCTTCACTGCAGGCCCCTGAAAACCAGCTACTCATTTCTGCCATATTTCATCTTTTCTACTACTAGACAGACTCAGTCACCCTTCTGGGCTCTAAAGGTAATGCTTATAACAACTTTAGCACTTACCGTTATTTTTATATATGTAATCATGCCTGCCTCCCCAATATATTGTGAATAACTTTAAGACAGAGGCAACATTTATCTCCACTAGATCACAGCTAGATGCCTACCAAAAACTGGTCGATATGTAATCTCTAAATAAATAATAAATAATTTTAAAATATTGGCCATGAAATAGTTCAATACTTTAGAATTTTCTTTTTTTTATTATACTTTAAGTTCTAGGGTACATGTGCACAACATGCCGGTTTGTTACATATGTGTATACATGTGCCATGTTGGTGTGCTGCAGCAATTTTCATAAATGCCTGCTTTCTTTGGCCACATTTAGGCATATTTTATACACAATTGATTCTTCTAAATAAGCCTACAGTATACAGAAAAAGTGAGATTGTCACTGTAAGACTAAAAATAGCTGAATTCCTAACTACCTTATTCTAAATACTTTTTAACTACCTAATTCTAAATACTTTTTAAGTATTCTAAATACTATGTATTCCTTTATATACATAGAGGAGTCTTCTACACTGCCTAAGGAAAAATATTTTTATTTTTTCCTGTGGTATAATTTATAATTGGAACCTTACATTTCTCTGAAAATATTATAATTACTCTGGTTTGCCGTAATAAACCAACTGGCTGTTGTTTTTATTATTCTTGCATTTACCCTTTGAAAAATTCACTAATTGTAAAAAATCAAGCTCAAAAAATGTGGTTCATAGAGAAAGTCATTTGTATAGTGTAGGATTTCCCAAAATGCATTTGGTAAGAGTGGAGTTCATATCATTTAAGTTTAGGGAAAAATTGGTTTCAACATTAAACAGTTGTATTTATTGTGGTTCTTCTCAGAAACCTCAACATACAATATCTTAAAGTCTTGATCTTGAAAGATCTGATCACATAACCACAGGAGGTGACTGCTAAAAAACCACTCCAGGGTGATAATTCTGTCCTACAAATATGGGGTTTGCATTTTTAATTGGTATGCTAGCAATTCAAATGTATCTATGAAATTTGATATTCACTTCATAATGCACAATATGTTATAAATCTCTAAGAAGGAGATATAATGTACATATTTCTTGAATATCTTTGACCTAAAACTCTTTATGCATAAAGCTTCACTTGAGGTCATTGTCATGAGGAAGACACTATGGGATTTGCTATGGATTATATTTCATTAATGTTAGCACAACCAACTATTTGAGATAAGCCTTTGATCATCTGAACAATGAAAACTTACTACATTTAAACATTAAAGAAAATATTTTGTGGCTAGAAGACAGCTGTAGCTTTTTCTGATACTTTTATCTTATAATGAATAGTATCTTTAAATTTACTCTTTCTGTGCTTCACAGGCATTGTGGAAATTTCATAGGATGGTTCATAAAACTGTTAGTGAGTCTCAGAGAGACACCAGAGATAAGGCCACATTACTATACTGAATAGGTTTTGTGCTTTAATAAAGCCTTTTACTACATTTAAAGCCTTTGCTGAAATAGAGCTCAATTTGGTGAGACACAAAAGGTGGGTTCCTCATAGAGTTCCCTCACTCTGTTGCAAACAGGACCTGGAATATCAAAAATTCCAGAGAACTGTTGTGAAGGAAGGCAGGACAAATTTGGCCCATTACCAACACCGTAGTATAAAAATAGTTTTGACTATTGGTTAAAAGTGCTTTGGAGTGAAATAGACTTTGGTTTATGTTTTAGCTCTGATATTTATCCATTGATGACCAAGTTATTTTTCTCTGGGCTTCAGGTTCTTTGGCTGTAAAATGGATCTATTTCTTTATGGAGTTGATTTAAGGGTAAAATTAGAAAACATACACAAGTATTCAGCATAGGTTAACAAATAGTAATCACTCCTTTTTTTCTTTCTCCTCATCTGATTATTGTTATCACTATCATTAATGATTACAAAACAATACTTATGATCAGTTGACACTGACACTATTTTATGTCACAGAATCAACAGTGATGCAATTACCAAATATAGAAAAATAAGAGGAAAGGTAGAGAGAAGAGAAGGAAAGGAAATAAAGAAAGTGCTGAGTAGAGGTACTGCAAAACATTTCTTACTAATGCTTCTCTTTAACAATAAAGGTAAAATATAACAAAAAAAAATTAGGTGGGAAATTAAAGAAAGAAAAAAAAACAAAAACAAAAAGAGAAATAAGCTTTCCTGTATTAGGCTAACTTGTTTGAGACACAGCAACGGGCACAGCCTAGACCCAGGGAACGTCTTGATAATACTATCTAAGAAGCCAGGACACAAAGGAATGTGCTCTGGAGACTCTCCCAGCACTCTCTCAACATAGCGAGAAGAAAAACAAATTTTCCTTTGTTTTATAATATGAGTTTATAGATTCTTGTTCTCTGTAACTAGTAACTTCAAGTATTTTGTTTTATGTAAAAAGTACAGAGAATGTCACAAGAAGCCTGAGCAGGCCTGAACTACAGCTGTCTATGCACCATAGTGAAGGTTATAAGATAAACCAGTGCAAGGCTCTTTAAAGCAATACCTAGATAACAGACATCTGGTTTGCTTGGCAAGGGTCATGTGTAATCCTAAGTTATACTTGTCACAATTTAATTAATTGTTCTGCGTCTGTATCCTTGTTTTTGCTCAACTGTAACTGTAAACTTGCTTCAAGTTAGCCCACCCCCTTTTTAAAGTGTGTATAAAAGTCAAGTGCTGTCTTTGTTCTGGGTCTAGTGTTTGTATGTTAAATCTGCTGGGTCTGAGTGCACTCAATAAAGATCCTGCTGTATCCCAAGGTCTCTCTGATCCTCCTGATTCTGCAACAAATTGTTGATACTAATGTTTTGCTTTGGAAAGAAAAAACGTTTGAGAAAATATAGGTTTCAAGATGAACCAAATTGTGTTTATATATTTAAAGATTTATCCAATAAAACATGGGTTTAGAGTTATAATGTGAATCATTGAATATAGAATTAAACGAATGGACTTACTTCTAGGGAAGTTCCCTTGGAAACAACAGAATTTAATTCTTAAAAGAAAACCTCTTCATTTAAAAAAACTACACTACATTACACAGTAAGAGGTGGGGTCACTGAGAGAAAACAGGCATTTACTGCAACTACAGCTAAGATCTAAAGAGAGTAGCCAATGTTACCTAAAGAGTAAAGATAATTTTTTAGACAACTATTGCAATAACTTTTGCTTATGCAAATATAATTTTGTTTTTCCCTTTATGGCCACACAAATGAAACCTAGACAATCTAATAAATTACCTTTGTTATCCTTAAATTGCCGCAACACTGACAGTCAAATTGAGCTTCTAAAATGGTTCTATACTTTAATCATTCATTCCACAAACATTTACTGAGTTTCTATTATGAGTCAGGCACTGACAGAAAATGGAACAATAAAAACAGTCAAGGGCTTTGATGTCAGTGGAGGTTATATTCTAGTGGAGAAAGCATAA